GTTTCGCGAGCCGGAGATTGCTCGCGCGCCGGCGAGGCCCGGGGTCGTCCGCTGCGACTTCGACATGCGCGCGCGCGCGCGGGGCCGCGTGGAAGAAGCCGACCACGGTCTACACCGCGCCGGCGGTGCCCGGCGCCGGGGGCCCCCCGCGTCGTGCTCTCCGGCATGGTGCAGCTGGCTGGCGAGCGGCCGCGGTGGCGCACCGCCTTCGCATCGGCCCGCCCTCCTCGCCGGGCTGTCGCGCTTGCCCGGGCGCGCCGCTCAGTTGCGCCGCCCGGCGGGGCCCGCCGCCCGAGGGCCCCCTCCTGGACGACTGCTGGGACTGACGTCTGGCAGTCTGCGCGCAGCCAGCTGCGGCCCACCTCCGACGCGCGGCGGCCCCGCGGCTCGCGCGCGCCCGAGCGGCGCGCGGCCGGGCGCCGCGCCGAGGCCCGCCGCGAGGCCTGCGGCGACGCCCCTGGCGCCCGCCTGCGCGTCGCCGCCCGCCCCGACGCGGCTCAGCACTGGCATTCTGCCCGGGGCTCGCCCCCGGATCGCGCCGGCCCGCCGCTCGCGAAGGCCGCGCTGCATGGCTTCGCGCGTGACTCGCCCGTGCGGCCGCGCGACTCCCTGTCCGTCGAGTTCCTTCTCCTGGCCTGCGACGCGGCTGCGGCGCGGGGGCCTCCTCGCCCTCGTCGCGGCCGCCTCCGCGATCGGCTTCGACTGTTACCTCCGCCCCGCTGAAGGTCTGAAACTGACGGCGCGTCGCGCGGCGCCGCCGAGCCCGGCGCCCTCGACGCGGCCATCGCCATCGCGCCTTTCGACGCCGACGACCCCCTCGCGCCGGCGGCCGAGCACTTCGAGTTCGACGCCTCCACTATCGTCGGGGCCCGCGACCGCGGCTGCGTCGCGCAGCTCGCTTTGAACCCGGCGGGGCGGCCCGGGCGGCCGTCGCCCATCTGGGTGGCGACGCCGCTCCGCTCTTTTCCAACGTGGCGGTCGTGCGCTGGGCCGCGGCCGGCCGCGAGTTCCGCGCCGAGTTTTGCAGCGCCCAGTTGCCGTTCCTGCCCCGTTCCTTCCATCGCGCCGTCCCCGGTCGCGACGCCCGGCGTTTCGTGGCGAGCGGTGCTGCCCTGCAGATTCGGGGCCGCTGGCTATAGCAGCTTAATCAGGCCCCCAGCATGCTGAGCCGGCGGGCGCGCTGCGCACGGGGGGCGCGCCGTCGGCCGCCCGGCTGCGTGGCGCCTCCAGCGTGTCCAAGTCTCTCGAACGCAGTGTGTCGCCAGCGTTCCCTGGCCCTCCCTGGCCGCCGCCCCCGTCGAGACGCTCTCCGGCAGCGACTGCGGGATTCCGGGCGCCGGCTCGCTCCGCCGCGGGGTCGAGCGCAGCCGGCCGAGCTTCCAGGCGACTAGTCGCCTATCGGGATCATGCCCCTCCTCAGGGGCCGCGGCGGCGCACCAGCGCAGAACCAAATGCCTATCAGGATCATGCCCCTCCTCAGGGGCCGTGGCGGCGCACCAGCGCAGAACCAAATTGATCGCGACCCCTCTCCCGTCCTGCTCCCGCCGCCGCTTCGCAATGAGGCAGACGGAGAGACTGTGATGATGATGCTGATGCTGATGCTGATGCCGGTGCCAATGATGGTGGTGGCGAGGGCGAGGAGGAGGATGAGGACGATGACGGTGATGATGGTGATGACGGATGGTGACGACGATGCTGATGATGCTGCTGCTGACGATGATGCTGATGCTGGTGATATAATGTTGATGATGCTGTTGCTGATGCTAAGGATAGTGGCGGCGAGGATGAGGAGGAGGGCGAGGGCGAGGACGAGCATGAGGATGATGATAATAATGATGATGAGGGTTGACGTCCCCGAGAGGGCGCGGCCCCATTCGTCGAGTGGGACCCGCGGTGCTACAATGCCCTCGCGGATCACGCTGCCAACGTGGTGTTCGACGACGCTGGTGATTGGAGACGCGGAGACCCTGGCGTGATCGATGTCGCCCAGCGTGGGGGTTATCTGAAGGTCAGTTTCGACGGTGCTAGACGAGGAGATGGTATGTGCGCTGCTGGAGTAGCAATCGTTGCGTACAAGCCAGATGGTAGCGATGTGCACTTGGCGTATCGAGGCGGCAAACGCTTGGGCAGTGTTCTGCATTTGCAGCAGAGCCTCTTGCGCTCGAGCACGCAAACGACACTATCACGATTTTCTTTCCTCTCTGATCCTGTCTTTGCATGCGTGCGTCGTTCGTCATCTGAGTTGCCCAACGGCAGCGGGCAGGCAGTGCGTGTGATAGCCACCCCTCACGAAACTGGAAAGAAAAGAAGGTTGAGGATGATGACGATGATGATGGTGATGCTGATGTCGATGATTATGATGCTGCTGATGATGATGATGATGATGATGGCGACGACGACGACGACGACCACGATGGCGACGACGGCGATGACGATGATGTTGATTGCGATTGTCGTGGTGGTGGTGATGCTGATGATGATGTTGGTGGTGTCGGTGATGGTGGTGGCGATGATGATGATGATGTTGCGACTGATGATCATGGCTAGCAGGATCATGAGGACGTTTCTGTTGATGCTGTTGAAAAGGAGATGCTACGATGGTGATTGTGGAGGCGACTGTAAAGAATGTGATTGTGATGCGGATTGTGATGCTGGTCATGAATACGAGCATCATCATGATGTGGATGGTGATGTTGATCATGCAGGTGATGTTGATATTGGTGAATATGATGCTGTTGACGGTGGTCAGGATGATTATGAGGGTGATGATTATGATGATGGCTGTGATGCGAATGATGAGGGTGATTATGACGATGATGCTGATGACGGTGACGATGATACTGGTGTAAGTGAAGATGGTGATGATGCTGGTGGTGATGCTGATACTGTTGATGGTGCTGCTGATACTGATGAAGCTGGTGCGGGCGATGGTGATGGTGACTGTCATGACGATGAGCGTGGTGTGCATGCTCATGATGACGATAATGATGATGGCCTAAGTACCGATGGGGCGGATGATGATGCTGATGGTAAGCATGATGGTGGTGGTGGTGGTTATGATAATAATGACGATGAGGAGGAGGATGATAATGGTGGTGCCGATGGTGCTGTTGTTGCTGATGTTGATGATGCTGTTGCGGATGATGGTAATGTTGATGATGCTGATGTTGATGACAACGCTGGCGCTGTGCTGATGATGAAAATGACGAGGATGATGTTGATGCTGATGCGGATGATGGTGATGATGAAGGGGATGGTGATGATACTGGTGTTGTTGGTGGTGGTGGAGACATTGATGTATGTTGACAGTGGTGGTGATGCTTATGATGATAATGATGATGGCGACGATGATGCTGATTATGAGGATGACAGTGATGTTGGTGATGCTGATGATGCGGGTGATGCCGGTGATGATTACGGTGCTGATGATGACGATGGTGATGATGCTGTTGCTGACGATGATGAGGATCATGATGATGATAATGGCGATTAGGAGGAGGATAATGAAGAGGATGAGGAGGAACAGTGTAAATCGAATACCCATCAACGATGTTGGAACTCACACTCCCTCCAACCTCCTCTTTCATATGCTACCTACAACTGCTCATTTCCACTGAGTGAACTGTCCCGCTGGGGGACAATATTGTGAACATCCAGGAGCGTGCCAACACACCATTTTCAGGCTTTCAACGCTACGAATCAACCAGACTGTTGCGTCTTGACGATCCTGAATAGTGCCAGAAACCATCCCTGGGATTTCACAGCACTGCACTGCGAGTCAACGTAACCGTTGCCCCCGACAATCTTGAACCGCTTCAAAACCCCATTTAGGGTTCGTAAGCCATGAGAATCAATGAAACGGTTGCAGATTTATGAAACGAATGTGCGCGGCGCTACGGCGAGAACCACTGAAAACGAGTGTGCTCGGCGCTAAGGCGAAAATCGCATCATGAAAACGACCTGCCCTCAGTCCGTGAAGCTTCTACACTTTGTTTAAACGAATTGTACGCGGCGCCAAGGCAAGAGCTCCAGTTTGAAGACGAAATCCACATTTTGGAAACGACCCCCCTCCTATTGTGAAGCTGTTGCCGGTTCTGAAGCTTCGGGCCCATCGACGGCAAGGAGTTTCAGGCGAAACACCCAGCCCACCCCTCCGACTGGCCTCGGGGTGCGACAGGGAGGAGTATTTCGCAAGGGCGAGGAATGAAGGAGGAGGAGCGGCAGGAGGAGGAGGAGGAGGAGGAGGAGGAGGAGGAGGAGGAGGAGGAAGAGAGGAGGAGGAGGAGGAGGAGGGAGGAGGAGCGGGAGGAGGAGGAGGAAGAGGAGGAGGAGGAGGAGGAGGAGGAGGAGGAGGAGAGGAGGAGGAGGAGGGTGAGGAGGGGGAGGAGGAGGAGGAGGAGGAGGAGGAGGAGGAGGAGGAGGAGGAGGAGGAGGAGGAGGAGGAGGAGGAGGAGGAGGAGGGGGAGGAGGGGGAGGGAGGAGGAGGAGGAGGAGGAGGAGGAGGGGAGTGAGGCCGATTAGGATCAGGCCCGTGGAGTTCGATTGTCGCCTCGCAGACGCGGCGCGGCATCCAGGAGCTTCTCCGCGGGCGAAGTCCGAGCGGATGAGCCGAGGAGGCTCGCGGATCAGCGTCGGGTCCCGCCTCCACGACAATTCGAAGCGCTCCCTTGCCAAATCAGGCGGCACTGTCTTGATGTTTCGGGTTGTGGTTCCCACGATATGTTCGGGGCTGGATAGACCTCCTGCCCTCACACGTCGATTAAGGAATTGACCGTTTTCGGTTCGCGAAAGGGCGTCGCGGCCGTCATTTTTGCGGGTCCAGGTCCGTCGGTTTCGGTCCTAGGCCGTTCTCGCTAAGGGGAGGTTCACTAAAGGGAGGATTGTCCACCGCCGATCTGTGGGTCTGGTGCCCACGCGCCAGATCCACAGAACCGTAATCCATGTTAGCGTGTGCCCGAGTGAGGATGAGGAGCAGGAGGCTGGCGGACGGAACCGGCCAGGTGAGATCTGCGGGAATGGGACCTGCTTCCACGCGTCCTGCGTGGACGGGGGCCTTGCCGCGGCCGACTGCATGTGCGGCGACCACCAAACCTGTCGCGAGGGGGAGGTCTTCGGGAGAGGAAAGGTATCCACCACCAGGCCTATGGCGGGATTGTCGAGTCGACGCGGCGGTGACACCGGCGCGGTCGTTCAAGGTCGAGCGTCGCCAGAGGCCCGAGATCGGCCGGTATCTGTCGACCTGCGCTATCGGGAAGCCGTGATAGCTCCGGGCTTAGTGACCTTCGCGGTGTCGGCGGCCAACGCCGAAATCGCCACGGCACGAACCTGCCGCACAAAGGCCACATTTTCGGCCCAGATCGTGGTGAGCGTCGACTCCCACCCCCACCCATGCTTGGAGTGGACCGTGTGCACCAAGACCTCCGGGCCCCGACGGGGGCCTGTGCAGGCTAGTCGGCGGTGCGTGGCCTCCCGCCTCCTCCTCCTCCTCCTCCTCCTCCTCCTCCTCCCCTTCCGACTCCCCCACCTCCTCCTCCTCCTCTCCTCCTCCTCTCCTCCTCCTCCTCCTCCTCCTCCTCCTCCTCCTCCTCCTCCCTCTCCTCCTCCTCCTCCTCCTCCTCCTCCTCCTCCTCCTCCTCCTCCTCCTCCTCCTCCTCCTCCCTCCTCCTCCTCCTCCTCCTCCTCCTCCTCCTCTCCTCCCTCCTCCCCCTCCTCCAGGTGTGCGATCGTAGTTCAAGGAGCCGCCTTTGCACAGTTTCGTCTCCGTCAAGGGTATGGCTCTCTTCCTCGCTCCTTCGCCAGCGCTCTCCCCGGTTCCCGCCCGCGCTCCCCGTGGCCCTCTCCCCTCCCTTCTCCCCCTGCCCCCTTTTCTGTTCCCTCTCCCCTCTGCCTCTCCCTCGCCTCCCTCCCCTCCCCCTGTCCGTCAGTCCGCGCTCCCTCGCTTCCCCTTTATCGTCCCTTCCCATTTCCCGCCCGTTCACTCGCGTCTCCTCGAGATCCATCCTGTTCCCTCGCGTCCCATCCCGCCCCCCGTCCCCCGTCTCGTCGTACAGAGGCCTCTTGGGCGCCTGTTGGGGCCTCCTGGAGCCTCTTGGACGCCTCTTGGGGCCCTCTTGAAGCGCTCTTGGGTGCCTTGGGAGCGCTCTTGGAGCCCTCTTGGGCCATCTTGGAGCCACCTGGAGGCCTCGGCGAGAAAACCAAAGACATGGATGTTCCTAAGGTTTTGAGAGGATTCTGGCATCTTCGGGGCCTCCTGGGGAGCTCTTTGGCCACTTGGAGCCGTCTTTGAGCGGTCTTTGGGCCTCTTGGAGCATCGTGGGCGCCATCTTGAGGCATCTTGGGATATCTTGAGCCATCTTGGACATCATCTTTGGCTCTCCCAGGCGCTCTTGCAGTCATCTGAAGCAGTGCCCCCCCCCCGGAGGCCAAAATGTGGCCAACACCTTAGTAACATCAGCGATTTTGGCATTGTCGCCGAGGCCTCTTGGAGTGTCTTGGGTGCCTCTGGGGGGCCTCTTGGCGGTCTCTTGGAGGTCTCTTGGGACCCTCTTGGGGGCATCCTGGGGGACTCTTGGGGGCCTCTTGGGGCCTCCTGGCTACCTCTTGGAGCCCTCTTGGGGCACCCTTGGGAGCCTTGGGAGCGCTCTTGGGGCCATCTCGGAGGAGATCGATCAAAGAAGGGGGAGGTACGGATTAGAGTCGCCCCCTCAGAAGGCCAAGATGGGGCCAACACCTTGGTAAAATCAATGATTTTGGCTTCCTCGCCAAGGCCGTTTTGGACGCTCCGACGACTCGCGACCCCCCCCCGTCCAGGTCCAGGGGAGGGGGTAGGGGTCAAGTTACCCCCTCCCCGCCCGCAAGCCGTCTCGTTCACTCCCACCCGCCCTCCCAGCACATACGTAGCACCCGAGTCGGGCCCGAGCCTCAGCATATTCAGCAGTCGTCTTGGGATGGGCAGCTACTGGGGGCCAATCCGCCGCCTCCGCCGCCGCCGCCTCTGCCGCCTCCGCCGCCGCCGCCGCCGCCGCCGCCGCCGCCGCCCGCTGCCGCCGCCGCCGCCGCCGCGGCGCCGCCGCCGCCGTCGCCGCCCTGTCGCCTGTCGCCGCCCGCCGCCGCCGCCGCCGCCGCGCTCGCCGCCGCCGCCGCCGCCGCCGCCGCCGCCGCCGCCGCCGCCCCCGCCTGCCAAACCGCCGCCGCCGCAGCCGCTGCCGCTGCCGCTGCCGCCACCGCCGCCGCCGCCGCCGCCGCCGCCGCCGCCGCCCCCGCCGCCGCCGCCGCCGCCGCCGCCGCAGCCGCCGCCACCGCCGCCGCAGCCGCTGCAGCCGCCGCCGCCGCCAAGTGTACTCTGCATTGTTTTTTCCCAACCCTCCTGCGTTGGGTTCTCGTTTTGAATAGAGCACTGCTCGCGCGTCGCCTTCCTTACTTCCTTCCTTCCTTCCCGCCCCCTCCCGCCCCTGTCTTCCCCGTTGCCTTTCGCCTCGCTCGTCGCTGCGTGCCAGCTGGGGGGCTGCGATCTGTGAAACTGTCGCCACTTTCGAGACCTGCTGGGGGGCCCGGCGCAGTGGGTACTCACGGCAGACTCAAATGGGACCTTGCCATCCTTGGGGGGCTGCGATCTGTGAAAATGTCGCCACTTTCGAGGCCTGCTGGGGGGCCCAGCACAGTGGGTACTCACGGCAGACTCTGCGATCTGTGAAACTGTCGGCACTTTCGAGGCCTGCTGGGGGGCCCAGCACAGTGGGTACTCACGGCAGACTCACATGGGACCTCGCCATCCCTGGGGGGCTGCGATCTGTGAAATTGTCGTCACTTTCGAGGCCTGCTGGGGGGCCCAGCACAGTGGGTACTCACGGCAGACTCAACTGGGACCTCGCCATCCCTGGGGGGCTGCGATCTGTGAAAATGTCGCCACTTTCGAGGCCTGCTGGGGGGCCCAGCACAGTGGGTACTCACGGCAGACTCACATGGGACCTCGCCATCCCTGGGGGGCTGCGATCTGTGAAACTGTCGCCACTTTCGAGGCCTGCTGGGGGGGCCAGCACAGTGAGGCACCACGCAGATTCAAGGACCTCGCCATCCCTGGGGGCTGCGATCTGCGAAACTGTCGCCACTTTCGAGGCCTGCTGGGGGGCCAGCACAGTGGGCACCACGGCAGATTCAATGGGACCTCGCCATCCCTGGGGGGCTGCGATCTGCGAAACTGTCGTCACTTTCGAGGGCTGCTGGGGGGCCAGCACAGTCACGCAGATTCAGATTAGACCTCGCCATCCCTGGGGGGCTGCGATCTGTGAAACTGTCGCCACTTTCGAGGGCTGCTGGGGGCCATCACTGTGGGTACTCACGCAGACTCAAATGGGACCTCGCCATCCCTGGGGGGCTGCGATCTGTGAAAATTGTCGTCACTTTCGAGGCCTGCTGGGGGGCCCAGCACAGTGGGTACTCACGGCAGACTCAATGGGGACCTCGCATCCCTGGGGGGCTGCGATCTGTGAAACTGTCGTCACTTTCGAGGCCTGTTGGGGGGCCCAGCACAGTGGGTACTCACGGCAGACTCAAATGGGACCTCGCCATCCCTGGGGGGCTGCGATCTGTGAAACTGTCGTCACTTTCGAGGCCTGCTGGGGGGGCCCAGCGCAGTGGGTACTCACGGCAGACTCAAATGGGACCTCGCCGTCCCTGGGGGGCTGCGATTTGTGAAACTGTCGCCACTTTCGAGGCCTGTTGGGGGGCCCAGCACAGTGGGTACTCACGGCAGACTCACATGGGACCTCGCCATTCCCTGGGGGGCTGCGATCTGTGAAACTGTCGTCACTTTCGAGGCCTGCTGGGGGGCCCAGCACAGTGGGTACTCCCGGCAGATTCAAATGGGACCTCGCCATCCTGGGGGGCTGCGATTTGTGAAACTGTCGTCACTTTCGAGGCCTGTTGGGGGGCCCAGTGGGTACTCACGGCAGACTCACGTGGGACCTCGCCATCCCTGGGGGGCTGCGATCTGTGAAATTGTCGTCACTTTCGAGGCCTGCTGGGGGGGCCCAGCGCAGTGGGTACTCACGGCAGACTCAAATGGGACCTCGCCGTCCCTGGGGGGCTGCGATTTGTGAAACTGTCGTCACTTTCGAGGCCTGTTGGGGGGCCCAGCACAGTGGGTACTCACGGCAGACTCACATGGGACCTCGCCATCCCTGGGGGGCTGCGATCTGTGAAATTGTCGTCACTTTCGAGGCCTGCTGGGGGGGCCCAGCACAGTGGGTACTCACGGCAGACTCAAATGGGACCTCGCCGTCCCTGGGGGGCTGCGATTTGTGAAACTGTCGTCACTTTCGAGGCCTGTTGGGGGGCCCAGCACTTTGGGTGCTCATGCAGACTCAAATTGGACCTCGCCGTCCCTGGGGGGCTGCGAGCTGTGAAGCGGTCGTCACTTTCGAGGCCTGCTGGGGGGCCCAGCACTTTGGGTATTTACGGCAGACTCAAAGTAGACCTCGCCATCCCTGGGGGGCTGCGATCTGTGAAACGGTCGCCACTTTCGAGGGCTGCTGAGGGGCCCAGCACAGTGGGTACCCACACGCAGATTCAAATTAAACCTCGCCATCCCTGGGGGGCTGCGATCTGTGAAATTGTCGCCACTTTCGAGGCCTGCTGGGGGGCCCAGCACAGTGGGTACTCACGCAGACTCAACTGGGACCTCGCCATCCCTGGGGGGCTGCGATCTGTGAAACTGTGGCCATTTTCGAGGGCTGCTGAGGGGCCCAGCGCAGGGGGTACCCACACGCAGATTCAAACTAGACCTCCCTATCCCTGGGGGGCTGCGATGTGTGAAACTCGTGCCACTTTCGAGGCCTGCTGGGGGGCCCAGCACAGTGACGCCACACGCAGACTCAAATGGGACCTCGCCATCCCTGGGGGGCTGCGATCTGTGAAACTGTCGCCACTTTCGATGCCTGCTTGCGGGGCCCAGCACAGTGACGACTCCCAAGTAGCTTACACATCAAGTTGATTGTCCATACAAGTTTCGGCCAACTCCTCGTTTCCATTGATACAAATGGGTTGGGTACGTCACAGGGTAATTTGACAGGGATGGTGGGGGGGGACCGCATCGGGTTGGCTGCGCATGTTCCGAATTTGGAGGCAGAGTTTTTTGTTTTGTTTATATATATATATTATATATATATATATATATATATATATAGGTGTGTGTATATATTATATATATATATATATATTTTTTACCAGGGATGGTGGGGGGGGGGGGGGGCATGGACCCTGGTTGGCCCCCAGTCGCCTGGGGGAGGGGGTGTTTATTAATAGGGAACGGTGATTAACCCCTCCCCGAAAGGGACGAAGGAGGGGTGGAAGAGGAAACGCTTTAAGCCACTGACGCCCAGAGGGCTGGTGGGATTTCTTCAATGGCTTTGGCTCAGCCCGCCGGCTATCCTGTGTTGAGTGCCAGAAGCCTCTTGGATGCGGATGCTCCTCGGGGGCCTCTTGCAGGCCCGTTGATTGGGGGCATTTGCGGGGCCACTTCGGAGCCTCTTGGGGGTCTCTTGAAGGCCTCTTGATTGGGAGTCTTTGTGGGCCTCTTTGAGGCCTCTTGGGGACCTCTTGAGGGCCTCTTGGGGGCCTCGTGGGGGCCTCTTTGGGAGCCTCTTGGAGCCTTTGGGGCGCTCCTGGGGGGCTCTTGTGTGCACACTGGGATACTGGGGGAAATATGTATGGGAAGGATTCCCAAAGGCCATTCGTTTTCCACTTCTTGGGCGTCTGATGTCCATTTGGCTATCTTGGAGGCCTCCTGAGCAGCCTTGGAGCCCTGCTTGGGCCGTCCTGGGGCCCTTTGGGGGGCATCATGGGGACCTCTTGGGCCGATTTGGAACCCTCTTGGACCGCCTTGCGGCCCTCTTGGGGTCATCTTCGGCCGCCTGGACGCTCTCTGACCTCGGGAGAGGGCGTGCGACAAGCCCCAGCCCCATACAAAGTATGCAGATGTCTCAATCAGATACTCGAAGGGGTCTGAGGACACTCCACTCCGTGCCTACACCACGCTGGCGATGTTTGCTGCGCCGTGCAACATAATTCCAGGCCTCGTCGTATGAGACACCCCGGCAAAATATCAGGGTCCATCCGTCCGAAAGTTGCGCAATTGTACTGTTGCGATGCTAGTTTGAATTGAAAGTGCAGGCGAGAGCTCCAGATTGAAAAAGGAGCTGCCCTCTGCCCGTATGAACGCTGGAAGTGTTTAGGACGCCTGTGCGCGGCGCCAAGGCGAATGCCTCATTCTGAAAACGATTCGCCCTCCACCCATCTAAGTGTTAGATCTGTTGACAGCGGGTGTGCGTGCAGCGCCAAGGCGAGAGTGCCATCCCAGAAACTAGTCGCCCTCCGTCCGTATAAGGGTTTGAACTTGTGAGGCCTCAGAAGCGTATTTCAGCGGCGAGGAAGTCTCAGGCGACACGCCCAGCCCGCCATACCGACACGTCTGGTGGTGCGACATGGAAGAGTAGTTATGAAGAAGAGAGATGGATGGGGATGGTGATGATGACACTCACAATACTCATGACGATGCTGATGATGATCCTGCTGTTGTTGGCAATGATGACGATGATGAGGATGATGAGGATGAGGATGATGTTGCTGATGAGGATGCTGATTATGATGTTGTGGTTGTTGGCAATTATCGTGATGATGAGGATGACGATGATGCTGGTGATGATGATGAGGATGGTGATGCTGATGACGCTGGTGATGATGATGAGCATGATGATGATTATGATGATGATGATGATGTTGATTATGCTGATGACGATGATGATGGGGATGATGAAGATGATGATGATGATGATGATGATGATGATGATGATGATGATGATGATGATGATGATGATGATGATGATGATGATGATGATGATATTGATGAGCATGGTGATGATGATGACGATGCTGATGACGATGCTGATGGTGATGATGCTGTTGCTACTGCTGCTGGTGGTGATGATGATGTCGATGATGCTGATGATGTTGCTGCTGATGATGCTGCTGATGATGACGATGATAATGACGCTGATGCTGATGATGCTGATGATGATGATGATGATGATGATGCTGATGATAATGCTGACTGCTGATGCTGATGATGCTGATGATGATGATGATGATGCTGATGATGCTGATGTTGATCACGATGCTGCTGATGCTGCTGAGGATGATGCTGATCATGATGATGATGATGATGATGATGATGAACTTGATGATGATGCTGATGATGATGATGATGATGGTGTCGATGATGATGAGGATGAGGATGAGGATGATAATGAGGATTCAGATGATGATGATGATGCTGATGATGATGATGAGGATGAGGATGAGGATGAGGATGAGGTTGAGGATGAGGATGATGATGACGATGCTGATGATGACGATGATGATGATGACGATGATGATGACGATGATGATGATGATGATGATGATGATGATGATGATGATGATGATGATGATGCTGATGATGATTCTGATGATGATGATGATGATGATGATGATGATGACGATGACGATGATGATGATGATGATGATGATGATGATGATGATGATGATGATGATGATGATGATGATGATGATGATGATGATGATGATGATGATGATGATGATGGCGATGATGGCGATGCTGATGACGATGAGGAGGACGAGAAGCAGGAGGAGGAGGATGAGGCGGAGGATGCCGAGAAGGAAAAGGGCGACGAGGGAGGAAGTTGACGACGAGGAGGAGGGGGGGGGATGGTTCGACGAAGCGCACACATTGTTCAAGCCGCGTGGGATTTGAGACGGATGCCGCTTCTGTGCAAGAATCGGCGCACATCGTCGCCAGATCGGACGGCATTGGCTTCATGTTTGTTCTTAACCAGCCTGTGGTGTCGGGTCCTCGTTTTGAAGAGATAGCGCCCCATGGCACGCCTCCTTCCTTCTCCTCCGCTTCCGCCTCCTCCGCCTCCTCCCTCTTCTTCTCCTCCTCGTCCTCCTCCTCGTCCTCCTCCTCGTCATCCTCCTCCTCGTCCTCGTCCTCCTCCTCCTCCTCCTCCTCCCCATAGCCGTTTCAGCTGCATTTGCGCCTCGGCGGCCCGGCGGACGCACGTGCGCCCTCTCGCCTCCCCTCCCCGCCCCCCCCCTTCGGCTCTGCGGCGGTGGCCATCCGTGCGCGGCTCGCGTGGCTTCTGGAGCAGGTGGCGGCTGGGCTTCCAGTGAAGGTGCGGATCAGCACGAATGCTGTTGACCTTCGCATTCACATTGTGGTGGTGCCGTTGGTTCACCAGCGAGCTTGTGGGGACGTGCTCGTGCAGGTCCTGCTGCAACAGGTGCTGGCCATCGAGGCGCAGTACGTGGTCGTGGGCCATGGGCACCCGCATTCTGCAGGGCAATCGGACGTCTCCTGCGTGCTGCGGCCTCGGATTCCTGGGCCACATGCCGTTGCTGGTGGATACGGTGGTGGTGGAGACGACAATGACGACGATGACGGCGATCAGGGCCCAGGAGGTGGTGGCCCCCATCGACGCAAGCGTGGCAATGGTGGTGACCTGGGTGGGCATGATGGTGTCATTGTGGAGCTCGGGGCTCTGCTGGCAGGTGCGCCCCGCTGCTTGCGAGGACACCGCCGCCGTGCCGCGGGAAGTACCTCGCACGCGCGCGTTGCTGCCACTTCTGCCTAATCCTCGATCTCCGACGGTACCAAGTGCGTTGGCACTCTGACGGCGGACTCTATCCCGCCTGCCGCCCACGCGGCCGTCCGCAGCAACGTTGCGGGCTAGATTTTGGCCCTCGCCATGGGGCAGCTGATGTGCGAGCTGACGGACTCTTTCGGTTGCCTTCGCCGCGCCCTCGCTATGGTGGCGCGAGGGGATGTCTTCGTGACGGCGACCTGCGTGGTCCTGATGATTTTCATATTGCAGGTCTTCGTGGTGCTGGGGATCTTCCTGCGGGGCTTTGTGTTGTTGGAACCTCGTGGTGCTGGTGGTCTTCGCTCCGAGGGTGGTGATGCGGCTATTCCTGCCGATCTTCGCGTTGCGGGGGCTCCTCCGTGTGATCTCGGTGGTGCTGGGGATCTTCAGGGCGCTGGATGGCATCGTGACGATCTTCATGGTGCTGGAGCTCTTCCTCCTGCCGATCTTCATAGTGCTGGACATATTCCTGCCATACTTCGTGGTGCTAGGGATGTTCATGGGGCTGCGGATCTTAGCTCTGGGGGTGATGCGGACCTTCCTTCCGATTTTCGTGGCGCGAGGGACAGCCTTCCGACCGATCTTCGCGGTGCTGGTGTTCTTTCCGCTGGTCCCCGTGGTGCTAGGGCTCTTGGAGGCGCTGTGGGTCTTCCTGCCGATTTTCGTGATGCTGGAGGCCTTTTTCCTGCTGGTCGTCGTGGTGGTGGGGATACTCCGGGTGATCTCCGTGGTGTTGGGGGTCTTCGGCGCATTGAGGATCTTCCTGCCGATCTACGCGGTGCTGAGGATCTTCGTGGTGATTGTCGGGGTGGTGCCGACTTTCCTGCTGATCTTCAGGTTGACGGTGATGATGCCATGTAAATGTTTGGCGCAATTTTGTGAATAGGTTTAGCTTTTAGTTTCCTTGTCCTCTCTGGTACCTGTACGCCATACTGGCTCAAGTCCAAGACCATATGCTGCTGCTCCTGCTGACACAATTGGTAGCGGAACCGTGTAAGCTCCAGGGCCGAGGGCACCCGCCCGCCGCGCGATGGCGCGCGCCGGCGGCTGCGTTCAAGGGCTCTGGGAGGACGCGCGGTTTCCGACAAGCCGACGCGCGTGGAATCCACGGCATGCCCGCCGACGGCGACGGCGGGGAGCCCCAGGGGAATGAGACTTTCCCGACGCTCGCTGGGCCCCAGGAGGCGCAGGAGGGCGCCGCAAGCCGGACCCAGAGGGCTGGCTCTGGCGTGGTGCGGCTGGAGGATGTTCGGGAGATGGTTGCTAGCATGATCAGGGAAGCTGGCCAGCCTGCTCTCGCGGCGTTCCCGCCCGCGCCGCCCGCGGCCGCCGAGGCGGCCGCCCCGTCCCACGGCCGGGGCGAGTGGGCGAACGGGAACGACCCCTGGACCAGAGGTCGTGTTGCGGATTAGACTGGGCGCCAGCGCGACCAGACATCCGATGTTCGCCCAGCAGCCCGGACTTCGTGGGGCGCAGCAGGTGCCGACAGTGGATGGACCGACCAGTCCACTGGCCAGGACTGGAGTTATGACAAGCAGCGCTGGCGCAGCGATGACTAGAAGAACGACGACGACAAGCAGCGCTGGCGCTCCAACGACGAGGGCCCGCCAGCCTGGCTTGGTCGGCAGCGCTACTGGACCTGGACGAAGGCGATGCAGAGATGGGGCCGGCGCGCGGACGTGCCGATTTACAAGCGGCACGAGAAGTTCATGAAGCTGTTCACGTGGACGATGCAGACTTCGTTCGAGGACATGTCAGAGAGCGGCTTAGAGAGCAAGACCTGGCCCAGCCTCCTGCTCACCCGCCTCGACAGGATGGCGGGGGGGTCAGGCGCATCGGGCGCGGGGCCTTGTTCGAATGCCAGCGGGGAGCTAAAGAGACGTTGCAGGCCTTCGTCGATCGCCGCGAGAGGCAGTTCCGGGAGGCTGAGGACGACGACCTCGTTATCGCCGCAGCGGATGCAGGATATGAGGGCCCTCACTCGCGGCGACATCGAGTACAGGAGTGCGGGCTGGGTGATTCGGCAGCTGGACTTCACCGCGTCTGAGCGGCTGCTGCCCAGCCGTGGCGCTGGCATCTGCGCCGACGGTCCAGGAGCGACTGGCGGCGCTCCAGACCCCCTCTCCTCTTCCTTCCCTCACTCCACACAGGAACAAGGCTGGTCCGAGGACGACGGTGCCAGACCCGAGGATCGCGATGAACAGTCCGATGAGGATTCCGACGGCGCCGAAGAGATGTCCCAGGACGAGGACAACGTCGCAGTGCCGCCGGAGATATCCGGGATGGACCTCGACGAGGATGGCGTCGAGACCTACTTGGTCGGCCTGAAGAAGCGAACTTGGAGGGGGGGCAGAGATCTCGAGCGGGCGGCCACGAAAGACAGAGAGTACTGCCGTGGTTTAGGGGGAGACAGGCCTTCCAGCCCCGGCGGTCAACCACCCCCGCCTCCGCCTCGGTCGTTTCGAGCGCGGGCGCGGCTGGGGCCGGGGCAGAGGCCGAGGCAGGGGCCGCGAGTTCGGCGGCCTTCCCCTCGAGAAGGTCACGCAGGCCACCCGGTGCAAGAACTGCGGCGAGAAGGGCCACTATAGGAAGACGAGTGCCCGAAGCCAAAGAAGGATACCCAGCCCAAAGACTGGCTGCGCAGCGCCGCCCGCCGACGTCGCCCTGGCCGCGCTCCGGGAGCTCCAGGGCCAGATCACCGAGATCTACTCGACCACTCGGCCGACACAAGGGCTGGTGGACCCAGGGGCGGGCGGCGACCTGGTGGGTCTGGCTACCCTCAACTGAGAGGCGCTGGCGCTCGGCGACCCCGGGGCGACGCGCGCGGTGGTGCCACCCGGAGAGTGATCGCCGATCAGGCCTGCTCGCGGGGTTGGCGGCCAGGCCAAGATCGCGGGCTCGATCCCGTTTCCGCCGACGTGGGAAGTGTTTTCGGGGCAGTCGGGGCCACGGTGCTCCTCGAGGACGTTCCACACATCATCAGTGTGGACCCCTTGGATTTCCTGGGATGCGTAATCGATCTGCCCAAGAACCGCATGACGGTCGCCAGGCTCGACGCCAAGGTGCCGCTCCACAAGCTGTCGTCCGGGCACAGGATGGCGGGCGTCGTGCGCCCGCTGCCGCAGCCCGTGCGAGCGCCGCAGCAGGCCCTCCAGAAGTTTTATTTTCTGCGGCCAGATACTTTCTGCCTTGCCGAGGGCGGGCGCCCTCTCGAGATAGCCGAGGGCGGCTCGGTGCGCGCAGTTGCGAAGTACGCGTCCCGTCTCCTTCTCTTTCTCTTCCCCATCTTCAATCTCGGTGCCATCTTTGGAGACAACCTCAGGAGGGGCACGGGTGAGGCCTACTGCGTCGTAGAGGACCTCGTCGGGACCCTAGGGGCCATGTGCGCGACTAGCAGGGTCCTCTTCATCATGGGTTGGGTCTAGAGCAGCGGAACACCCTCAGGGACCACGAACGCGACATCGCGGGCGTCAGATGTTGCCAGCCAGTCGCGTTGCAGTCGCGAGCTCAGAGGCCCCCTGGACTGGATAGGCCTCGCCCCGTCCTGCGCAGAGCGACCCCCGATCCACTGAGGTTCAAGGCCGACGTCGGCGGGGCCCTGAGGCCGACGGGGCAGCCTTGGATAGCTTCGGACTCCGTAGTCATCTGGGCTCGAGCAGCCCCAGGCGACCACAGCTCGCTGAGTCTTCCACGTATCCGTCAGAACCCCAAGCCAGCTGGCGATGCCAATGTGGATTCGTGGCGCAGCGTGTCTGGCGACGCTCGTCTCGATGGCCCTCGGCGCGGCCGACGAGATTCCGCCGCCCCAGACTCCGAGTCGAGAGTCTGGACCAGAACCTATGGGAGAGGAGACGCCGGTGCTGTCGGCAGGAAGCATTACCCACGACCCACGGGCCGCGGCAGCCGCAGCGGCGGGCCAGGCGCAGCAGACTGCGCCAGCGGCCGGGCAGGGGCCGCCAGCAGTGCCACACGCGGGAGATCGCGTCAGCGGCGCACGCCCTCCGTGCTGGCCACTTCCGGGGCCGCGGACGGCAAGCGGCCGCGGTCGCCGACCCGGCGCGGCCAACGCCGCGGAGGCGATCGTGGCAGACCGCCAGCGCCAGATGGGAAAAGGCAGCACCACCTGTCAAGCCACCGCCCCCGACACTCAAGGCAGTGCAGACGGCGGGGCCAGCAGGGGTACCGCCAGAGGCGATTGTCGCGTACCTGCCAGACGGGACTTTTGTCGTCAACCAAGCCTGCGTGGGCGCACTGGCACGGGGGGCGCCGCGCCGCGGCCCCGTGCCATCGCATCCCGGACCTCCGAAGCCTCAGCCGGAGGTCCCGCTTCCAGGGCAGGCGACTGCCGAAGCCTTCCCGGCGTCGGCCAGTTCATCATCGGCTACGACGACAAATCCCCAGACAGCGACGGTGGCACCCTGTCCTCACTTGCGCTGGAAATGCTACGGGAATCAGCGCGGACACGGCAGCCGATGTCAGGATTGCGGAGAGCGCATCACGTGGATTCCCAAGGGTCCCGCCGGGGCCAACCAGAACGGCGGGGTCGCTGGGGGCGACAGGCATTCCGCGGCCGCTGCGGCTCGCCGGGCAGCAGACTCAGCCGAGCGAGCAGTGGAGTTGCTGGAAGCGCAGGGAGTCGTTCCAGGGGCAGCCACCCTGAATGCGGTCAACCACGCCGAGCAGTTGCTGCAGACCGTGGCCGCTCAGCGCCAGTAGTTGCCTCGCGGACTGGAGAGCCTCGGCCACATGCGGGACGCACTCAACCGCATGTGCGAGCAGGTGCCCGTTCTCCAAGCCCAGCCGAACTCGTCGGCCGTGGCGTACCAGCAGGTGCTCCAGGGCGTGGCCCAGATTCGGCGCGCGCTGGAAGGGGCGCTCGAGCCGCTGGGCGAGTCGATCGATCAGGTTGGAGAGGGCGTCGTGAAATTCGCGGCGCAGGTCGCCATCCTCGAAGGCCAGGTGAACCAAGTCGGGCAGGTGGTCATGCAGATCGCCATGCCGGTGGCCGGCCTGTGCCAGGCGGTGGGCCAGACGGGCGTGGGCTCATCGGCGGCAGAAGCGGCGGCCCCAGCGTCGCCGCCGCAGACGGCCGCTCCGACCACGCCTGGTTGGGAAGTGCTCAGCAGGATTCCAGAGGGCGCCCCGTCGCTCTCGGACGGCAGCTCGGCGCAGTGAGTGAGACAGACACCTCAATGATCTTCCCTCCGCCTCCTTCCGTGCCTCCACCTCCGTTGCCGCGCGTGTCCGAACCCGGGCGTCACGCCCAGTCCAGCTGGCTATGCTTTGGGCTTCCTCGTGCGAAGGCCGGGGGCCCACTGATGTCAGGTGCAGAGCTGGGCCAGTGGCTCGACGGCGATCTGTTTAATGATGACCGAGAAGTGACCCTTCCCCAGAGAGTTCGAGACTGCCTCGTAGCCTTCGCATCTGATAAGGGGGGCCCGCGGGCCTGATTAGGGGGGCGGTGCCGCGTATGCCGCGACGGCAGGCGCAAGAGCTCAGAGGGCCCCATTGGGCCGCCAGGACAAAAGCCGGACGGCGTTTGTCGAGATGTTCTGCCCCCCTCGCTTCGTCCCCGAGCTGGAGAAGAGAGGGGTTGCGTTTCCGTCGAGAGCGAGTTTTGATCGATGTCTCGGTTGGGATTCTCGGAGACCCGAGTCTGTCCGAGCGCTGTGGCAGACCCTCCGGCGGGATAGACCCCCTGCAGGTGGTGCGGCTCTGCCCAGAGTGCCGGGCCTTCTCTCTTCTCGAGGGAATCAACCGGGATCGGATGGACCCCGAGGAGTACAGGATCACGATGACCGATGGTCTGTCAGCGTTGGTTTTGTGTGTCGAAGTGGCTCTGTA